GTCCGTACATAAAATAATAAAAATTAAAAACTTAAACATACTCAAACATGCAAACTGACTGTTCAGACAAGTTCGAACCGGTACCGTTCCATGGATAACCGTCCGAGCTCGGACAGAAAAATCGGTCGGTGACAATATTTTTTTGATCGGCGAGAGCTCGGAAAGCTCGGACCGGACTCGGTTCGGACATGTATGAACATATGCACTGGAAAACAGCAATTTTATATTTTCGAGTACACGGATGTCCTGACGGATCGGAATCGGATCGGACCCGTATCGGATGTGTGTGAAAGGACCTTTATTCGCGGCAAAGATGTAGTCGGCCGACAAATGCCTGGCCGTCCCCGGCGGAAGACGTCCTCGATTCCATCTCAGCGGGGTCAGGTGGATCGATGCCAAGGTAATTGTAATTTCGATGCGGGCACCAATGGAATGGTGTCCGTAGCGACATTTCAAGACTTCCTGGTAGCAATAGGTGTCAACGTCGCGGCCCCCGGGACCCGGCTTACACCGACCAACTTCCAACTGTCAGCCTCATCGAGAGAATGGTTGCGGCTATGCGTCCGCAGCGGTGGCTGCTGACGGTAAACTAATAGTATATATGCTAGTCTTACTAGTCTCTTGTCGGACTTGTCCAACCACTTGCGGAGTTGAATCGTACCACTGTGCAGGAACTCGGCGCCTTAATTCTTCGAAGACAATACTTGGGCGGGGTCACGGCCACGCCCCTCTTGGGCCGCTGGAGGTCGTTGCGGAGGGCACGAGAGAGACCGGAGCCTGGGGACAACCCGTGGGTCTGAGGATTAATCTAACCTTACCAAGGACGGCCTTGGACTTAACGATCCCATATGCGGGTGTCAGGCAATAAGAGCATTAGACTGAGGTCTGGGCTTAATTGAATGGACCCGGGGAGTCTTTCCGTGAAAGGTCTGGAACTGGAACTGACCTTAGTAAGAGATTCTGACGCTTCGATTTCTAATAGAACATCTACTGCTGAGGCTAAATCATTTTGTTTTGAAATATTAATAACTATAATTGGTGCATTTGTTAGAAAAGTAGAAAGACTTAATATCGGGTTTCGAATACATTTTTCATAGTACGGTGATTGAAACGATGTATCATGTATCCATATCATATAATAAGGTGAAATTATTTTTTGCAAAATCTAAATTTAAATTATCATATGGATAAGCTATCGAGTTTAAAAAAAACTTTAATGTTTGTTGAATTACAATGATCGAATACACTACAATCTTTTGTTAATACATTTTTATGTCCCTTCTATAATCCGATTATAATGAATCGAGGTTTTTCTATTTTTGAAGCAGTTTTCAAGTTCTGTTAACGATATCGATAAATACTGTGTATAAATAACGTATGAATTCACGGTCACATATTTTGTTTAATTATTTTTATATTTTAATTGTCGCTGTGAATTATATGGCTGCATACGAATTGCGTACCGCGGCAACAATACCTTCCGAATTGCGTCCCAAGTTCTTTTAGGGGTAATACTAATTGCGTCCCGGTAATTTTTTGTGGTCATACTAGTAACGTCCCGATTTTTTTTTGTGCATACCAAATGCGTCTCGTATATTTTAAAAACATAACAATATTTCCCTTCCCATTTTTATACAGACATAGGACTGTCTGTAATAATAATTACATAATTACTATTACAGGTAGATTAAAAATATTGTTTTTGCTTTTTATATTAATTATTGCATTTATAATTGAACATATATAAAAACATTAAAAAATATATAAATATAAATTGTAGTGAAAAATATTATGGTATTGGTAAAAATTTAAAATATAACGTTTTTATAAATTTAAATTTACTAATTTTTTTTAATTTTAAATTTGCCATTGCTTGTTTTAAAAATTGTTCTTTATTAATTATCGAAGTTGTACGGTTCTTTAAATGAGTGCTACGTTGTTTTATATAAATATCAGTTTGTAACCTTTTCAGAGTATTTATAAATTGAAAAATATTTGGATGGGCATTATAAAACATCGCGTTGAGCTTTGAATGAAAAGCTTCACAACTATTAGTAGTCCGTATAGTTGTAGCCGAGTATTCTGCCCATAATTAAGTTGAAAAACTAGAGTCTGGCAGTATATATGAATCTAATAATAATCTGTGAATATATCTATTTTTTCATCTGACGGTTTAATAGATATTAAATCATCTGTGAAACAGTCGATCACTTCGCCAGGACGCAAAAACGGCAATCCAAAAAAATATTTCAAGTATTTACTTATATCACTGTCAATTTTATATTCAGAACTTAGACCAATCGATTGTATTTTCCTATACCAACTTTGCCATAAATGAAAAAGACATCCTTTTAAAGTTATTGAAGGCCAAACTGATAAAATAGCTAAATGTATTGCCTTTTCAAAATCTGCAAACACTTATTTTGGAGAAAATATGATATTATTCGGACAAAATGTGTCAAAACGCCTTTTCATAAGATTTTGATTCCTTATCAGGAAGTAGAAAAAAACAATAATGGTATATAGTTATCATTTTGTAAGACATGAACTGTAAATATTTGAATAAAAACGATTGGGCAACTTTTGAAAGTACCATCAACAAAAATTGTTTCAACATTGCTTAAAAACATTAAGTTAGTTTTAGTCGAAAATAATAAAATATTTTAATCCTTATCATTTACCAACAAAAAGTTTTCATTACGGTTCGTTAATAAGAAATCACTCATATTTTCTAATGAAGTATGATGTAATTCCTCCAAATTAGTTGGTAATTTGGGCAAAATATAAGATCGTGTATTTTTCCTAATCAATTGCAAATCATATTTAGTTAAAGTATCTATATCAGGTTTAAGTAATTTACTATTAATTATTTTACTTGGGTTCTGACTAATATAGTCGACAGCTTTTCGTTTTAATTTATTACTCACGATTTGACGGTTTAATATTTCGTTTTCTTCGTGATGATTATGATTAATACTTTTTTGACTACATCGTTATCGGAGTTTAAATGAATATAAGACTTACACGTTTTTTTACAACAACACCACCGTTCAATATTGTTTTTTAAGTACTTGTGGAATCGAAATTTATACTGGTCAATAACAAATAAATCACGTTGTTTTTCGCTATACATACTATTCATATTATTCGACATAATCGGGTTTAAAAATGTAACACGTGTAGGGTAATGGACTGTTGTCTGTTAACAGTTTAACACTGTACTGCGACAATAATTGTGTTGGACATCTACTAAACGTTACTCACAAGAAACTTATCAAAGCTTTAACGTAATCGTTTTTATTAAATTAGAAATATTAAAATAATTTATAATAATCAATAATTTCGCCTTTATACTTTTTAGATATCACAGGTATTGGGGACCATAGGCGCAAATCGCGGGGGGGCTAAGGGGGCTTAGCCCCCCTAAAGTCATATTTAGCCCCCCCAATTTATAAGTTGCCCGCAAACTATTCAAAATTCAATAATTTTGAAATTTGATTAGTGTACTTTTTTTTTCTAGTAGGTGTTCATATAATTCATAATATACCAATACCATATGCATATGCATTATATAAAAATTTAAGAATAAAAAGTAATCATAATTCAAATAGGTATTCAATAATATACGTAATTTGGAGATTATGTAACATTTCAGGCTACGTATAATAATATTAGGTATAATATAATGTTTTCATGATAAATACAATAGGTACCTACATGACATATCTCGAATTTGTGTGGTGGTAATATCGATCGTTATCGACTGTTGTAGTTGTTTCCCCAATTCTAATTTTAAAACTCGTTCGTCTATATTGATTTCACGATAACAAATGCATGACGATTGACGGACGTTTCGCATCCGTGTGATACTCTGTTGTTGTAGTTGTGTATTGGCGAAACTCTAGTATAATTATTATTACTTTTCTGTGACAGTGATTTCATTTTATTAACCATTAAAACTTTTAGTTAAAAATTAAAATATTATATACTTAATTGAACTATGAGTGGTAAAAATAAAAAGGATGGAAATCTTCTATCATTCTTTCATAAAACAAGTAAGAAAAAACGACGATATTATTAGCACTGATAATTCAAATGTAATACCCGTGAAAACACCAGAAACGTCTACAATTTTGAACAAAGTCAGTACCTGTTAATATTTTTTTACGTAATAATTAGAAAAAAAATTAATTATAATATTTATTTATAGATCTCATCTGATGTATGGATATCAGATACAAAAAATATTATTGATGATCTAGGTACCAAAATTTCGGGTCCAAAACAGCCACATTTACAAGTATTTCCGTTAACTACATTTAAGAAACAAAACAGAGCATTTTCATCAATTTATTATAACAAGTATAATTGGGTTGAATATAGTGTCAAAGCAAATGCTGTTTTCTGTTTCAACTGTCGACATTTTTCTACTAACACCCTTGATGAAAAATTTGATAATATAAATGGTGTGCAAAACTGGAAAAAGGTATTTAAATAAATAATATTTTGTTTTAAAATTTTATTATTTTCAGTTATTTTTAATAGATTAATGATAAATTGTCTAAACATGAAAAATCAATATCACATTTAACAAGTACTGCAAAATTGAATGCCTATAAAATTACATTACAAAGTGAAAATGTTCTTACACAAATTTCAACAGCTCATAAAAAACAAATTATAAAAAATAGGAATTATGTGAAGGTATTAATTGATTTTATATTATATTTAGCTCGGCAGGGTATACCTTTTCGAGGTCATGATGAATGCAAAGAATCATTTAACCAAGGTAAATTAAAAAACTAACTAGTAAAACCCAGGTTCACCTAGTGATCGGGATTTTTAGTAATATACATATATTTTTTTTTAATAGGAAATTTTAAGGAGTTGTGTAAAATGTATGCCAAATCAAATCAGGAATTTTTAGAAATGTGTGAAAAAAAAACTAACTATAGCAGCTGGTATATTCAAAATGAAATTTTAAATATAAGTTCCAATATTGTAAGAGAAAACATAATACAACAACTTAAAAATTGTGGAATGTATGCTTTGATTTGTGATGAAGGAAGGTAGGTAGTTAAAACATTTATTTATAAAAAGATTTTATAAATATATTTAAATTGTTTTTGTGAACAATATTAATCCCATCAAATAGGTCTTATAAGCAAGAACAGATGTCTGTGTGTGTTCGATTTGTTGATGATAATCTGAATATATTTGAACGGTTTATTGGTTTTTTTGATGTATCTGGTGGACAAGGGGCTGAACAACTTTCCAATTTAATCATTTTTCTTTTAAAAGAACTTAATATTCATGAAGTTCCTATGGTAGCACAGTCATATGATGGGGCGAATGTCATGTCTGGTACTGTGTCTGGTGTACAAACAAGAATACGAGCTAAATACCCTGAAGCTATTTACATTCATTGCTTAGCACATAAACTGAATTTGGTTCTTTGCAGTACATGCAATCATATTAAAGTATTCATATTTTTTTTTTATTGACTAATTATATTGTAATTTTTAACTAATTTAATTATTAGGAAGCAAGAAATTTTTTTAATGTTCTTGAAGCTGTTTATATTCATTTTGCACAGCCCAGTCGAAACAAACAATTAACAGACTTGCAAATTAAAATGAATATAACACAGTTAACGATTACAAGACTTTGTGAAACCCGATGGGCATATCGCTATAAAAACTGCATTGCTGTTAAGAATAATTTTACTGCAATTATTCAAATACTCGAAAAAGAAATTGAAGAAGATGCCAGCAGAGATGTACCTCAAGCTATTGGTTAGACTTTAATAATTTATTTATGATTCACACAAAAATGTTAAATAATTTTTAAAACAAAAATAGGTACCTTCGTTTAATGTCCCTATTTATTCAATTACAATAAAATATGTCTTAAGTTATTATTTTTTTTAAAAGAACTATAAAATATATGTATTTTTATTTTCCTTAGGTCTTTTAAATATGCTAAAGAAACCATCTTTCGGCTTTTATTTGATATATTTCAACGAAATATTGCAAATAATTCATATTCTAAGTAAACAGTTGCAGAGAAAAGATACAACATTGGGGAAAGCTACAAGTACAATAAATGGTGTAATAAAATCATTTGAGCAAATGAGAAGTTCTTCAGAATTTTCTAAAATTTGGAATTTATTTTTAAACTTTACTACGGAACATAATATTTCTACTGAAATTCCATCTATTGCAGGTATATACTACCGAGGCCATTAATTATTTAGTTGTTATATCGTACATTTTCTCAATATTATTTCTTTAAATATTTGAGTGCTTAAATTGTCATCAAAATGTATACAAATTACTATAGATACATAATTATAAATTAAATATTGTTTTTAATTTATAGCTAACAAAAGAAAAAGAACTGAACCTAGCCACTTAAAAGACTTCTTTGTTATGAGCATTACTGGTAAAGAAAGTGAAGAACAATCAGATAATGTAACCGTAGCTTCCAAAGTTGATAAGCTGGAAGCTTCGAAAAAGTACTGGGAAAATCATTATTATAACCCTGTATTGGACTCTATTATTATTCACTTAAAAAATAGATTTTCTGAGGAAAGTCAAACTTTAGCTAACTCGACAGAAAATTTTTTTAAACTTGACTATGATGGAGCATTATACTTTATCAATCAATATAAGGTAGATGAATAAGAAGTATAAAAGATGATAATAATATATTAATGTATAATTAATTTTCAGGAGTTATTTTCAATTAATGCTAATGCATTGCATTCTGAAATGGTGGTAGCTAAAAACTGTGCTATCAACAGAAATGAAAACTTTACCTTAGATGACTTAAAAATAATAATAAGTAAAAATGTGTATCCAAATTTGTATACTCTTTTAAAAGTTGCTATTGTATTGCCTATATCATCAGCTTCTTGCGAAAGAAGTTTTTCAGCGATGCGCAGAATTAAAACTTGGACAAGAGCTACAATGGAACAGTCTAGATTTACCAATGTATCATTATTACATATAGAAAGGGATATCATTATTGATAGTGAAAAAGTTCTCAATATTTTTTCACAAAAAGATAGAATGTTGTCCTTAAGCTAAACTGCTATTTGCTAAACAATTGTATTTATACATGCTTTTATTATATAATAAATATTAAATATAACATATATATTAATGTTTAACATGTTGGATATTTTTGGAATAATATAGATATAATATTCTTATAAACGTATAAATACCATTAAAACTTTGTGTTAAATTTTAAGATACTAATAATAATTATGGTTCAACATTAGTAGTTAGTACCCGCGGATTTTTTCAATATATAAATAGTCAAGGCTTAAGCCCCCCCACCAAATTAAACCAATTTGCGCTTATGTTGGGGACGCAATTCAGCGGTGCTCGAGAAAAATCAAGGACACAATTAGTATTATACCTTTTTATATCTTTTTATACGAGACGCAATTCGTACGTACCGAATAATATAATATATTATAAAATTATCTATACGGGATTCACCTTACCTGTTTACGCCGTGTCGGGTGCGCGAATATTATTTAGCACAGCCGTCGTGAAAATTGTCTTTTGTCTTTTGTCGTAACGAAAAGACCAAAACGTTGGCATTTTTTTATATTATTATTATCCGTTGTGAAAATCGACGTTATATTTTATATACTATTATTGTGAGCATGAATCGCCACATATTGAATTATTATTATATACTGTGCGCGAATCTACACTTTTTTATACCTATTATATTTTTTCGTATATCCTATTACCGTAACATAGAACTACAATTTATTTTTATTGAGTTACCTAATCTCCCTTGTTTTAATTTACACACATACACATATACACACAGTTACACACCCACCACACACTAGCATTCAATAATCTTGCTCGACAAACCCGTCCACTTCATGTTATGGGCTACGAGATATACTAATAATATAAATATATCATAATATAATGTTTATGAGCTACGAGATATGCTAATATATAATATAATGTGTAATATTGCTATAGGTGTGAGCAATAGTAATATAAATATATATGTGATCTAATAATTATAATGTATACGAAATATTAGATTCATATTTTGTAAAAACATCATAATAAATCAAAATAGTAGTTGTTAGGCGAGGTCGTTTTGCATTTCCAAGAATTGCCAGTAAGACGATAACATCCTGGAGATTGTTGTTTCAAATGTGAAAACAATTCCAAGAACTAATCTAAATTGGAAGGTTGACGATTACAACAACAAGAGATTTACTTGTATATAAGGGAGTCCGAAGACCAACAGAGGCAGATGTACCAGAGCTACGAAGACCTGAGCAACTTCACGACACTCAGCCACTTTTTGTATCAGTTACATGTATTTTATTTATACAGAATAAAACATTATTGTATTTAAGAGTTGTAAATTTCATTTTAATAACACCCTGGATCTGGATCTGATATTGGCATGCAACAATTTTGGCGCAGTCGGTAGGATACACTTTTCTAGGAGGCAACCGTCAAAGGCTATCATCAACAAGAAGACTTGATCACTTTTCTTTGCTGATAACTCCAGAAGAGAAAACCAACAACAACGTTGAAGTATATCAAACAAGATGACAACATCACAGAACATGGCATTACTGTAAGTGAACAGTTAATTAATTTATTACACAATATATGTTACAAAAGTATAAAACCTAAGAAGTATCATTTAAGAAACTGAATATATATAAGTAGGTCGTAAATTTTTTTTTTTTTGAGGGCATATTATTGAATTTTATTATTGTTAAAGGGTTTATTATGTTGAGATATTGTGATTATTATATCATTTTGAGGGCATATTGAGTTATTTGAATTATTTTGAAGTATATTATTGAATTTATTGAGATTATTAAAGGGCATATATTATTGTGAATTATTGTGAATATATTATTGAGATTATTGTGAATTTATTAAAGGGCATATATTATTGAGAATTATTATTGATTATTAAAGCGCATACATTATTGAGAATATTATTATTGAGAATTATTATTATTGATTATTAAAGGGTATATATAAAAGTTATTGTTGATTTAAAACGTATCAAATGAGTGTGAAGGAAATTTATGGAGAATACTGGTACATCTCCTTTGAAAGTAGCTGATCCATTGAATAAAACATCTGCAGATATTTCAGAATTGGAATTATTAAATAAAACCCAACAGTTAATTGATTTAGGAAACCCTAGTAAAAACCCTAGTTCTAGCCCGAATTTAAAGCCCAGCTTAAATAGAAGTTTAAGCCTAGATAGTAAAAAAGTTACACGTAGCAAGGTTACAGATAGTTTTCAGCATATAGCGTTAAACATTTGAAAAGAAACCGCGTGTAAAGAAAATGGTTACCATAAGATTAGAGGAAGCATTTAAACTAATACCTTTGTGTACAGGAGAAGATGACATTTATCCATTTATTAATGCATGTGATATGGCAGTGAATTTAGTTGAAGAGAAAAATGCACCGATTTTGGTTAAATATATAACTACTAGGTTATCAGGTAGAGCATTGGAAATGATAAAGTATAAAAATGTGACTAAGTGGACATATATTAAGAGTTATTTAACAGATGCTTTTGAGGATATGACAACAGCTTCAAGTTTACAAATACAGTTAAATTCTATTAAAATGAGTAATGGTGAGGATGTTAATGATTATTGTCATAGAGTAGAAAAATTATATTATAAGTTATGTACTGCATGTACACTTAACAAAGAAGAATCGGAAGCTAGAGTAATACACGAAACCTTAAAAGAACAAACACTAAATATTTTTATAAAAGGATTAATAAGTCCTATAAGAACAATTGTAAAAGCACGTAATCCTAAAACTTTAGAGATAGCTAAGCAATTGGCTAAAGCTGAGGAGGTAGAGTATAATACAGAGAGAGAAAATTATAGACATAGAAATGATTTTTCTAATAATAAAGGTTCTAATAATAATTATAGACAGAATAACAATTGGCAACATAAAAATAATACAAAATATAATAATATGAATAATTATTCTAAAAATTTCCAACAAAATAGTTTTAATAAATCAAATTATCAGACGCAAACAAATAATTATCCACAGCAAAATAACTTTAATAAACCTCCAATAAAATGTTATAATTGTAATGGAAATCATTATGCAGCTCAATGTAGAAATAAACCAATACAAAATTATACAAACTATAACATTAATCAACCAAATAGAAATAAATTTGTACAGCCTTCAGCTAACTATAATGTACGAGTAATTACATGCACATATTGTAAACGGAAAGGTCATGATATAAATTTTTGTTACAAAAAACGTAATAATGAAAGTAAGAATAATAATTCGGGAAACGTAAACGCTTCGAGCGAGGAACGCGGTACTCGTTCGATAAACCAGATAATCGCGGAGGAAATGCGCAATGTTTCCATATAGTGACAGCCATAGAAAATAATCATATAACGTGTATTTCACCCGCAAGCAAAACAAATAAGTTAAATTTATTGATAGATACAGGTAGTCAGGTAAATATACTTAAAATAAACTGTTTACAAGGACAATTAATTATAGATGAAACACAAAAAATTAATTTAAGAGGCATACATAAAGAAATAATACAGACAATAGGTAGAATAGTTATTCCAATAGAAATAATTAATAGCAGTATAGACACGGAATTTTATATTGTAGGAGCACAATTTCCTATACCAAAAGATGGAATACTAGGTCATAAATTTTTATTAAAAAACAAGGTAATAGTAGATGTAGCAAATAATAAACTGGTTATACAAAACGATGAAACAACATTGAATAATTTAAAAAGTAGTACCATAATTTTGACGTTACAACCTCGAACGGAGACTGTTGTAGAAATAGCAGTAGCTCACCCAGAAGTAGAAAGTAAAAGTATATATATACATAAACAACAAATTACAAAAGATGTTTATTGTAGTAGTACAGTTTCAACTGTAAATAGAGGGAAAGCAATAGTTAGTATGCTAAATATATCTGAAGAATTAAGAAATGTAAATAAGAGTGATTTAAATAAAATACTTTATGATAGTGAGTATGAGATATATACAGTAGAATCAACAAATAATTATAATGAACGTATAGAACAATTAAGAAAAATTATAAGAACAGATCACATGGATGAGAATGAGAGAAAAACTATTTATGAGATATGTGAAAGATATAATAGTATATTTCATATGGAAGGGGATATTTTAACATTCACCAATGCAGGTACTCATGTAATAAGATTAAAACAGGATCAACCACCTATATATCGTATATCTTATAGACTTCCCCATGCGCAACAAGATGAGATAAATGAGCAAATTAAAAAACTTGAGGATAATGATATTATTGAGAGTTCAAGGAGTCCTTGGAACTCTCCTCTTTTATTAGTACGGAAAAAAATTGATAACTCAGGTAAACAAAAATTTAGAATAGTAGTAGACTTTAGAGCATTAAATGAAGTTACCATAAATGAATTTCACCCTTTACCAAATATTACTGAAATATTAGACCAGTTAGGTCAATGTCAATTATTTTCTGTTCTTGATCTTTCTAGTGGATTTTATCAAATTAAATTAGAAAAAGAATCACGAGAATTAACAGCCTATTCGACTAATCAAGGTCATTGGCATTTTAAACGTATGATACAAGGAATGAAAACTAGTCCTAGAACTTTTCAAAGAGTTATGAACTCAGTATTAGCTGGTTTAATAGGAATAAAATGTCTAGTGTATTTAGATGATATTATTGTATACGGAAAAAATTTATATGATCATAATGAAAAATTAATAGAGGTGTTTGAGCGATTACGAACCAATAATTTAAAGTTACAACCAGATAAATGTGAATTTTTGAAACGAGAATGTGTGTATTTAGGACACGTAATATCAGAAAATGGAATTAAACCCGATGAGAAAAAAGTGAAATCAGTGTTAGAATTTCCAAAACCAAAAACCGTAAAAGATATAAAATCATTCTTAGGACTAAGTGGTTATTATAGAAAATTTATAGATTCATATAGTGCAATTGCAAAACCTTTAACTAATCTTTTAAAGAAAGATATTAAATTTGTATGGAGTGAAGAATGTCAAAAATCATTTGATAAATTAAAAGCAGCTTTATGTTCTAAACCAATACTTAAATATCCAGATTTTACTAAACCTTTCATATTAACTACGGACGCGAGTAATAAAGCACTAGGGGCAATATTATCTCAAGGAGAAATAGGTCAAGATTTACCAATTTCGTATGCGTCGCGAACGTTGAATAAAAGTGAAAATAATTATTCTACAACCGAGTTAGAATGTTTAGCTATAATTTTTGGTGTAAAACAGTTTAGACCATATTTATATGGAAGAAAATTTATAATACTTAGTGACCATCGTCCTTTGACATGGCTTTTCAATTTAAAAAATCCATTGTCAATATTAGCACGTTGGCGAATACAACTTGAAGAATATGATTATGAAATACGATATAAACCTGGGGTTCAAAATTCTAACATAGATGCTTTAAGTCGTATGTATTCAATACAGGAAATTAAAAACGAATCATATGAGGAGTTTCTTGAAAAAATGAAAACACAATTAATTACAAATAATAATATAAAAGAAACAATAGGATCACTATTAGAAGCACCCATAGAATATCATATAGTATCAGAAATTGCAAAGCAATATAATTTAACATCAGGAATAAATTATGAAATAAAACAAAAGTTTGAATTTAAAACATTTTTACCAGTTAGTAAAGTAATAGGAGACACACCGTATGTAATATAAAATAATCGGTACATAATATTTTTAGTTACGAAAAATAGATATCGTCAGAGGTCAACGTACGAGAACATATATATAGCGTTAGTGAACTTGAAACAACTTTGTGAGGAAAATAAATTAAATAAAATAGCAATGAATAAATTAGGTTCCAATGACGATTTGGAATGGGATAAGATAAGGTCAATGTTAAGATACATATTTCGTAATACTAAAATTGAAATTATAGTATGTACGAGCATAGAATATTCGGAAGAAGAGAAAGTAATTATTTTAAAACAATTTCATGATTCAAAGCTAGGAGGACATTTAGGAGTAAATAAAACTATAAAACGAATACAAAAGCAGTTTAGATGGAAAGGTATGAAAAATGATGTTAAAAAATATATAAAAAATTGTACGTCATGTCAAGTAAATAAAATTTTGAATCGACATGTTAAACAACCAATGGCTATTACATCCACAAGTTCGAAACCATTTGAGAAAATATTTTTAGATATTGTAGGACCTTTACCAACAACTTTGTCCAATAACAATTATATTTTAACAATGCAAGATGACTTATCTAAGTATACGCTAGGAGTACCTATACCTAATCATCAGGCAAACACGGTCGCGGAAGCCTTCGTTATACACTTTGTGTGTGTACACGGAATACCGGGAACGAAATTGACAGATCAAGGAACGGATTTCCTTAGTAAAACGTTTACGGAAGTTTGTAAATTGTTAAAAATTAATAAAATTAACACTAGTCCTTTCAGACCACAAACAAATGGAGGTCTTGAAAGATCACATAGAACTTTAGCCGAATATTTACGACATTATGTAGATAAAAATTTAAATAATTGGGATCATTTATTACCCTATGCATTTTTTGTATATAATTCAACAGTACATACATCGACTAACTATCAACCATATGCATTAGTATATGGACGTACATTAGAAATACCAATTAAATTAAAATCTGAGCCAGAACCACAGTATAATTATGATGATTATATGATTGAAAACAAAGTAAAAAGTAAAGAGAGATATGATAAAAAAGAGAATCCTGTTGATATACATGTGAAAGATTTAGTACTTTTAAAGGACAATACACATAGAAATAAACTTAATTCTTTATGGTTAGGACCATATGAAGTAATTGAAATAATAGGAGATGAAAACATAGTTATACAACGCGGTAGACGAGGTATTACAGTACATAAAAATAATGTAAAACGATATCATAATGATAAAATAAATGAATAATTATAGGTATGGTAGATTATTTTTTTTATATAACATTAACTTTAAGTTTTTGATTTTTTTTTTATAGAACCAAAACATACAATTTTAATATTTTGGACTTTGAATTTACAATATTACAAAAAAACAATCACGTATTGATCTGCGGGGCAATAACGGACAATTTAAATCAAAGTGAAACGGTTAAATTAGAAGGATGGCCTTTGTTAATATCTAACAATGAGGTCCGTCCTATTACTAAATATGAACAGGATTGGGCGGTTAAAAATGTTAAGAAATTTTTTGGTAGGCCGTCCACCAAAGCAAATATATGTTTATCACAGATTAACGAAAGAAGTTGTTCTACTATAAATAATCTTAATAGAAAAACAATATTAAATTACATTAATCGAGGGGAACAAAAATCAGCTTTTGTTTTATGGAATGGTGACATGGATATGTTTTTTTTGAACCGTTTGGATTTACATTATCCAATTTTAAATATAAGAACTTATGATTGCAGTAATAATAGACAATTTTTCTTGCAATTACAAATTAATAAAATTACTATTGTAGGAATTGAATTAGGCAGTTATGAAAAAAATGGTAGATTGTTAAACCTATTCAAAAGTCATGAGCTGGCTTGTGATATAGATCATAAGATAACTCATGCTCATGATCCCTGTGCGGATGTAATATTAACAAAATGTCTGTTCGATAAACTTTTAGAAAAAATTACTTATGAGATATTAATAGAGAAATTACCATAGGAATAATAATATTACTTTTAGAAAAGTATTTTTTTTTTACTTTTATATTGGTGATGATGGTTGGATTAAGCAAGGCTAATGAAATAAACTCATCAGACTATTATACATATACACTGTATGAACAAGACAAGGGTTTGCATTATGAGAACTTAGGTCCAATTAGAATAATAGGAGCAGAGTATAAGCTCATTACTTACTTCTCACTAAAAGAATATAACGCGAAATATGAGATATTAGGAGAAAAAATGAAAAATATAACAAACATATGTACTGATAAAAATCATATAGATTTATGCGGAAAATATCAAATAGTAATAACCGACTTATACGACGAAATAACTATATAATGCAGAGAGAGAAAATTATGAGTATAGGAACAATTATTTGAATAATAAAAATAACAATTCTTTACGAAATATTAATAATAACTTTCTACGATATAATAATACTAATAATCATGGTAGGAATTTTGAACCAAATAATTTTAATAGACCTTTAATAAAATGTTATCATTGTAACAGGAATCATTTTGCAGCACAGTGTAGGAACAAACCTATATCTAATTATGTTAATAATAACAGTCGTCCACCTGATGGGAATAATTTTACGTAACCACCAACTAGTTATAATGTACGAGTTTTGACATGTACAATATAATGTAATTAAATAGTAATGGTGATAGGTATTTAATGATATTGAGGAATAATTAAAATTAATAATAAATAGTGGAACAAAATATAGTTTAAGCCGCGGTCACACGACGACAGTTTTGTGTCGAAATAAATGTAAGACAGTAAACTGTCGACGTATGAACGATTGTTTACATTTCTGTCGTACAATAATTCGATTTCCGCGACATAACTCTCATGACAATTCTTGCGCCGGTCTGAACATGTCCGAAATAAACGTCGACAGTGGGATTAATCGACTGTCAGCTTTTTTGTTGAATCAAAACAGTTGACAGTCACGTTGTGCAGTTTTGTCTAGTATTACGAAATATTAAAAATATTATGTCTTCCTCAAAAAAAGAATGGACAATTGACGAAACACACAAACTAATCTCTGATTATGAAAACAATCCTTGCTTATGGAATCCTAAAGATATAAAATATAAAGATAGACTAGCTCGGGGAGAAGCTGTTCGCCAATTAGCTGTGTCATTCAACACTAGTGAAGGTGAAATACTAAGAAAATTACACGGTTTAAGAAACCAACATGCTGGCGAAACTAGAACAGGCCAAGGAGCAGACGAAATGTACAAAAGTAAATGGATATATTTCGAATCATTGAAATTTTTATCTACTGAAGGCAACGTCGGTAGAAAAACTGTAGGCAATTTAGTAAGTACCGTTGCTATATTATAATATTGTAAATAGGATATAACTGTAATAATATTTTTCTTTTATTTAAATATATAATGGTGTATTTATGGTAGGGGTAGGGCTGACGGTATTGAAAATAATTTTCGGTATTACGGTATTGATTTCAATACCGGTTAGAAACGGTATACCGAAAAACCGAAAAGTTCCGGTGTACCGAAAAACCGAAAAGTTCCGGTGTACCGAAAAACCGAAAGTTCCGGTATACCGAAAAACGAAAAGTTCCGGTATATCGAAAAACCGAACTGTTTCGGTATACCTATACACCGATATGGTATGTTATACCGAAATAATAAATAAAATCTAACTATATAGTATCGATATTTTTTACTTTAATATTGATTCACAATATATAACTTAATATCTTTAAATTAGGTATTCTATACATAATATTATAATCTATATTATTGCCATTGATACTGGAAAACAGCAACCACCAAAATTTAGACTTATAATTATAATTGTTTACTTCAGATTTAGTTAAATTTATGTAAATTCTTGTACTTCACTTCAATTTAAAAAGATAAAACTGTTTAAGTCATCCAGATTGACAATACTTTAAAAAATAATAACATACAGAACATAAAGAAATGTGTCCTACTTATAGAGTAGGAATATAAAAAGTTTACTATAAATCATCCAACCTGCAAGCAAATCATGTTAGTAAGAAAACTTTTAGAAATATTTATATATATATATATATATATATATATATATTTATTATAATCATTACAATTTTAATTACTGATAAATTCATTTAGAAATTAAAGAAAAAAAGAAAAATATAACAATGTCGCATCTTGCGAAAGAATAACAATTTAAAAAAAAAAAACATTTAACAGCAGTTATTTGTGTAGGTGCGCTATATGTCACAGTGAGTAAGTCACTTAGAAACATACTTGGCATTCATAGACAAAAAAATTAATTCTTCAGCATGTTCTGGAGACAATGAGGATCGGTGATCAGTAATGACATTACCAGCACAACTAAAAATCCGTTCACTTGGTACACTTGTGCCTTGTATACACAAGTACTTCATAGCTAATTTGGCCAATGTTGGAAATTCTGAATGGAATATTTTCCACCATTGTAAAGGATTACAATTCAAACCAACACTTGGCAATGATAAATACTTGTCAAGTTCTATTTGGTTCAAATCTTGTATAGAATTTGTTTCAACAGGTATGTTTGAAAGATTTCCCAAAAATGCAGCCAATCCTATAATATTGTGAATATTTAGCCAAAATTAGTTATACATATTATTTTGTTTATTATTTCAATAATTATTAAACCAACCTCCAATATTTGTATTTTTGTCAGTTTTATCAACTTCCATTTGATGTCCAATTTCGTCCATTTCTTGTTTTATTAAGCGTATGATAAAATCCTTTTGTGCCAATTCGATGTAATGACTTCTGTATCTTGGGTCCAGAAAACTTATTTTTTGTAAAACTGGTCTGGCTTTATTATTATCGTATCGTTTAAAAAGTGGTGTTTTAATGGCTCTTTTTATGTGTTCTTCTAAGTGATTCAACATTGTGTCTGAGGCAGTATCATTACTGGTATTGGCAGAAGTATCTTCATCACTGTTGTTAGTTTCATCAACTTCATTACTATTGAGGTAAGAGGTTATCTCACCTGTAGACATTGCACATTGAGATGTAGTTGGAAAAAGTTCTTCGGTATCACCATTATCATCTTGATTTTCACATTGAGTAAGATCACATGTATATCTTGAGTTATCATTGTTTTGAAGTATTGATTCCTTAAGCTTTAAATAAATGGGCCATATTGAAGAAGCTGTCACAACTTGTTCTGAACTCATATGTTCTCCTAATGTCTTAAGAGGTTCAAACAGATTACATATTACACGTATAAGCTTTTGTTCATTACAATTTGGGAGATATTTTATACTATTAGATTTTAATTTATATAAAACATCAAAAAGAGCTTCTTGTTGATCTCTTATGAATTGAAGTGCTGGCAAGCTTGTCCACCATCTTGTCACACAAGATGCAGGCATAACAATTTGAGGCAGGCCATGTTTTTGTTGTGCTTCTTTAAGTAATCTGCGCAGTTTAGAGCTGTAATGAAACTTAAATCTCAGTTTAGAAATTTTAGATAATAGTATTTGAACAGGGCTTAATGACATCGAAGACGTAATACCATTGTTAATCGTATGACCAAAACAATTAATACCATTGATTCCCAATAGTTCAACAGCTTTCATCACATTTGTTCCGTTATCTGTGGTTGCACCAGAAATGTTTGATATTTGAATACCCCAATCAACTAGTGTTGATTCAATAATATCGCGTAAATTAAAAGATGTATGGTCTACATCTAAACTGGTGCATGTTAAACAATTTGTTTGCAAAATCCAGTCATTATCAATATAATGCACTGTTATTCCTATATATGGATGTTGTGCGTTCGAAGTCCAACAATCAAATGTTAGAGCCAAATATTGAACTGAACTTAATTGCTGCATTATTCTACATTTAACTTCATAGTATAAAGCAGGTATTTTATTTTCTGTAAAAACTTGACGACTAGGTACTTCATATCCTGGGCATATTACCGACATCAGATGCTTAAAACCTTTTTTTGATACTGAGCAATATGGTTGCATGTCTGTAGCTATCCAATATGCTATTGCATTGGTATAACGTTCACTTGTTTTTTTATCCACCTTCTTAAACACATTTGTAATCTTGGATTGTTTAAGATTCACATTTCTAAAAAATATAAATAAAACAAAATTATATTTAAATTCATATCTATATGGCTATCCTATTTAACTATTAAAATTATTGAACTTCTTATTAGTAATAATATAAGCATTAATATTTCATATACAATTGTAAATACTTTAATATAGATACAATCGTATAAAGATATAGTTCAGTTAAGAAAAAAAAGTAAAAAAAAACTATGTTTAAAACTGCACACCCTTTGAATTCTCAAATATGACCATGCCTGAGAGTAAATCTACATTCTTCTTACAACTATGAATTTGCATATAATATACTATTACTTAGGTACTAAAATATTTAAATATTATATAATAAATTATAATAATTATCATTTGTTTTATCCCCAAAAACTAATATTGAAATTTTAATAAATAATCTTACACTGGAGAAGAAGGTATACTATCTACTGTTGATGTTGATGGTGAAGATTGATAATCACCTTGACTTTCATCAGTTTGTTCAATATTAATTATTTCGTCTTCATCAGTT